GCATTCAACCATACAAGCATGAGTATGCAGTGGTCAGAAGTTGATATGACATCAATGTCCTTTATCATTCTTCTATCAGTCTGCCCCCACCTTATTTTGATTTTTGAAGCAGAGTCTTTCACTGGACTTAGAGCTTGAAAATTAGCTAGACCAGTGTGTCTCTGTTTTCTAGACCTGGGATTGCAGGCAGGAGTTGGCATGCCCAGCTTTTTGTGCGGGTACTGGAGATTGGAACAATGGGCCTCATGTGTGCACAGTAAATACAGAACCATTTCCTTGACCCTAACTAGTTTGGTTTTTTCCCTAAAGAAAGCATTAACATGTTGCCAAGTAAGTCTGTATATTCAGAGAATGTTAGCTAGAAACGTAGATGTCATCTAGTCTGGGTAGCTCATGTAACAGATGAAGTTAAAAGAAGAAAAGTAGAACTCCCCAAGAAAATAGTTAATAACTGGACAAAGTAACAGGCTTAATGACTTCCTAACTTTTTGCCAAAAAGTTGGCTAACTGTCCCATGTTCTCTGTTTTAAAAGCCCATTGTAAGTCTGGTGTTAATGGTACACACCTTCAATCCCAGCACTCAGGAGGTAGAGACAGGTGGATCTCTGGGAGTTTGAGGCCAGAATGGTCTACAAAATGAGTTCCAGGTCAGTGAAGACTACATAGTCAAGACCCTGTTTCAAACAAACAAGCAAAAAACTTTTCAGCATAGATTGATGTTTTGTGCTTTACCCTGAAGAAAATCCCAGTTAAATTTTTTTGGAAGCCTTTAGTGAACCTGATCTAGTGTCCTGGCTTGGTCCATGTGATTAATAATTAGTCTTGTTTAGTCTTAGCTCTGAAAAGCATACATGATGATTTGTTGACATATCTGGACAAGGACTCTAGAAATGACTCTACTTGTTCTTTCCCCCTTTCTCTACCCACTTTTTTAGTAATTTGATTTCTGTGAATGTTACTTTCAGGGTTGTTTTTGACCTTAGAATCCTCCTGCCTTGGCCTCCTGAGTTCTTGGATTATAGGCATGTGCTACTATGCTTGGCTCTTTTATTTTAAAATCTGTGAGCCATTATTGCTTAAAATTTGTAGACTTTAGCAAATACTTCTGGTTATCATTTGGAAAATTATAATTTTATATTTCTTTATGAATAAAACAGTCCTGTTTCTTGTTAAATTTTATTTTTTCTTACCAGCACAAACTTTAATTTCCTGAAGCTGTTTTCTCACGTCTTTGTTCCTTCTCAACAGGAAAAGTTCCTTTTATTCATGTGGGAAATCAAGTAGTGTCAGAACTTGGTCCTATAGTCCAGTTCGTTAAAGCCAAGGTAATGAAAAAAACAGTAAATGCATTTGAACATTTTCATTGATTTTAACCTAGCACTATGAAATACTAGTGTAAATTATTAGGAAATATTTCTAAACTGTAAGTTGGGTGCTTATTCATAATACAAATCAATAGCAAAGATGTAGGTTGATTTTCTAATGTAGGGTATGAGAATTTCTGTCATAAATGAAGCTTTTATGTCTTTAAGAAATACCTGGTTGACCTTTGAGAAGAGAGATGTAGGATATGTTTTTAAGTTGGAAGTATTAAGTTACCTGCTTGACAATTAGTAGTTCATTTCATTTGTTTAATTTAGATTTTAGCAGTTGACAGACACTTCCATTAGCCAGGTGGTGGTGGCACACACTTTTAATCTCAGCTCTTGGGAGGCAGAGGCAGGTGAATCTCTGAGTTTGAGGTCAAACTGGTCTACAGAATTAGTTCCAGGATAACCAGAGCTACACAAAGAAACCCTGTATTGAAAAAAACAACAAAAAAAGCACTTTCTTTAATATTTAGGGAAGCATTCTTCCAAACTGTTACATAGATAGAAAACCAGAAAACACTATTATGTGTTATTTTGTCCTTTAAAATTACCAACAAGTTTAAATATGGTTCCATATTAATGACTATACACAGGTATATATATCTTCTAAATAGTCACATGGTTTTCTGTTTTGCTGAATGCATTATATAGTTTTTAAATGGACATTTGGATATTGAGCATATATTTTGCTATTTATGAGTGTTAAAGTGAATTTTCTTTTGCATAAACCTCTGTATGTTCATTTCATTAAGATAAATTCCTAAGACAGACATGGTTGGTGAGTACCAACACTCAGAAGTGAGAGGCAGGCTGGTCTCTGGATTTGAAGGCAGCTTGGTCTACAGAGTGAGTTTCAAACCGGCTAGGGCTATATATTAAGACCTGGTTTCAAAGCAAGCAAAGATAAATTCCTGAGAGTGTTAATGCCATGCTTTGGCATATACCTTTTAATAATTAGAGCAGACTGCCAGATGGAGTAGAAGCTATACTATGTTATGTTTTTCCATTGCTACAGTTTTTTGACGTTGTATCTTTCTTCCCTTGTTACTAAATGGCTTTTCCCCCTATCTTTGCCCATTTTTTAAGTAGCACCTGTTTGGCATTTCTTATGTTTTAAGGTTTTATGCCTGAAAAATACAAGGTTTACTACTGACTGTTTTTTTTCTCCTTTATTTTTTATTTTATTTTATTTTATTTCTTTTTACGAGACAGGGTTTCTCTGTATTGTTTTGGAGGCTGTTGGTCCAGCCTGGCCTCGAACTCACAGAGATCCGCCTGCCTCTGCCTCCTGAGTGCTGGGGTTAAAGGCGTGCGCCACCACCGCCCAGCTTGTTTTCTCCTTTATGAAATAACTCATTTGTAATTTTGTCTATTGAAAATACATGTATATAATGACAAATTAATACTACTTAATAGTGATCAAATATTAGCTATACTTTTATGCATAATAATTTTGTTTTAAAAAGCATTTTAGAAATTAATCCATTTTACATTTATATATTACATTACTTGTTATGATAATAAGATAACTGAAAGATATTGTATATTTAATACGATGCTCTTTTAAAATTTTTTAAAATTCCCCTTAGGGTCATTCTCTTAGTGATGGGTTGGATGAAGTCCAAAAAGCAGAAATGAAAGCTTACATGGAATTAGTCAACAATATGCTGCTGACTGCAGAGGTATAAGATTATAAGTCTTGAAATAAAATATGATCTTGTATAATCTGTATTCTCATATAAAACTTTCATTATGGGTTACCTTAAAGCCATTGAGAAGCAGGCTGGGGTGGTCATCTGAATTGTTTGATCATTATAGATAAACAAGTTTCCTAGATATTTTCAACTCTAGGAGTGAGTCTTGCCTGCTTATTGTTTGTTTTACTTTAGCCTTTTGAAGTTTACTTTAATAATGACTATAAAATAAGGATGTTTAAACATACATTCTGTGCATAAGAAATGTTTTCTGTAAAGTATTGCCAATAAATTTGATAATTCTGTGCAGTGAATTAGCTGAGAAGAAAAATAACCTATTTGATTAACAAAGTTGGCTTATCAGGAATTACCATGGCAAGAGATAAGTTTGGCCCTTTTCTTTTTGGTGTTTTAAAGTTTCACTGACTGTTCTTTTGTTCCTAGTTGTATCTCCAGTGGTGTGATGAAGCTACAGCAGGGGAGGTGAGTGGTTCTGCAGCATTTATCTTAATTAAAATTTAATGAGAAAACACTTTTGCTCAGAATCGCAAGTCCCTGCTCATAAATGAAACATTGTGGTTTCTACCATTAGTGATACAGTTTTTCACTTACTTTAATTTTGCTTGCACATACATTTTAGGAAAGCTATGTGTCATTGTTTGATAGAACTGGTTGTAAAGTACATAAAAGTTTATATATTTTTAAAGGGAATGGTTTAAAGTTTTAATTTTTTATGTTGTAAGCTATATGTTGTGTTTTTTTTTTCAGATTTCTTTATGTATGGGAAATGCATACATTTTAGAATTCTGTTTGTAAAAATGCATTATTTTTAGGAAGGATTCTGTGTTTTACAAAGTCTTTTTGCTTTAGATCACTCATGCTAGATATGGATCTCCTTACCCTTGGCCTTTGAATCACATTTTGGCCTATCAGAAGCAGTGGGAAGTCAAACGGAAGATGAAAGCTATTGGATGGGGTACCAAGACTCTGGACCAGGTCAGTACAGATTGAAGTTAACAAGAACTTCAACTTGTATGCATTAAAAATGGCATTACTTTAAAAATTAGTCTCAGTGTAATATTGTAACATAAACAGCAACATACTTCCTATTATTTCTCTCGTAATGTAGTTATATTTCCTTTGTGAAAGTTGCATGTGTTTATTTGCCTGTAAGGTCTAAATGACAAATAGTTTCTGAAATCCTGCCACCTCAGAATTGTACCTCTTCATTCAGAGAATATTTTTCTAGTCTTAGTAGTACTTCCTCAAATGGGATCATATTATGCTTGCTATTCTATAACTTGATTTTTTTTCTACCCCTAAACAGCATATTGTGGGAATCTTTATGTCAGGAATAGATCTGCAGCATCAGAGCTTAAAAAACTTTATTAAGCACTGTACTTAACAAGGTTATTTTTCAGGGTTGTGTCTAAAGTTTACTAAAGTGACAAAAAATTTAAAAGTGTAATTTGCAAGGTCATGAGGTTGAGCCTCAGTCATTTGAGGTAACTGGTGTCTCTTTTTGCTAACCCTGATTTCTAGCCAGACATCTTACTGATGTGTGGTACAAGGGGGTTAGCAAGTGACTGATCACTCTCCAGAACCTTTTAGTATGTTGTTTTTGTGGGGCAGGCTCTCCTCTCCCCTTAAAATATAAGCAAAATCATTGACTATGTGGACCTAAACTGTGGCATAAATTGTTTTACATACTTTTTGTTGTTTTGCTAATTTGGATATTTTTCTTTTTGGTTCACTGTCTGTGTAGGTCTTAGAAGATGTAGACCAATGCTGTCAAGCCCTTTCCCAAAGACTGGGAACACAACCTTACTTCTTCAATAAGCAGTAAGATTTTTATTATTATATGTCTTTGCTTCATATAGTACTTCCAGTTGTCTTTTATTACAAAGGTATTATCTTTTCAAGAAGTGCATACAACTCTGCTCTTCTTGGTGGGGACCAGCTATGTGGCTCTTCTTGTTATGTGTATGAAAGGGCTCCAGCACCTTTGCAGTCATGTCATTGGTGTTGGGAGCTTTCTGTCCACAGATTTTATTTTCAAGCAGCAAGACACATTACAGGGGGAAAGGTAGGGGTGTGTGTGTGTGTGAGAGAGAGAGAGAGAGAGAGAGAGAGAGAGAGAGAGAGAGAGAGAGAGAGAGAGAGAGAGAGAGAGAGAGAGAGAGACTTATTTTTATAATTCATTTTTGTGCTCATTAAATATTTATCTCCTCTGGCTGATAGTAGGGATGGTGCTTGCTCTGGGAACTAAGATTTCTAAAGTCCAGTCCTTGTCATGAGGTTTCTTAAGATCAGTCTTGTAAATTGATCAGTCTTTGTATGATTTGACAAAGATTTTGATATAGTTCAAGGTGCTTTAGAAGTACAAAATATTAAAATCTTAAACTTTCAAGTACAAAAACATGAATGTGCTGCTAATACAACCTTATTCTGTAGTGAAAGATGCTTGAAGACCAGCAGAGTCATAAGAACAGGCAGAATACTGTTTATCCTTTAAAATGAAAATATCTTAAATGCAGAAATTAAGGAGTATAAAATATATGTAAAACGAGTAATTAATATTCTGTTAACAAATTTAAAAATTTAAAGCTAATTAAAAGGCAAAGATTTTCTTTCATTAAAAATTATAATTTTGGAGGGTGGTTTCAAGAAAAAAACTGTGTATTCCCTGGCTGTCCTGGAACTTTGTTCATCAAGCTGGTCTTGAATTCAGAGATCCAGCTGCCTCTGCCGCCTCCCGAGTTCTGGGATTATAGGTCTGTGCTACCAGTGCCTGGCAAAAATTATAATTTTAATATATTGAAAGTGTTTGTCAATTTTGTGATCCATTATAAATGAGCTTAAATTAATATTTTAATCTCAATGGCTTTCTTAAGGCTATCTTTTGCTTTATTTATTATTAAAAACATTGTTTTTTAGGTTGATAATATCTTTTTCATTGCTTTATTCTTTTGAAGTAGGCTCTGAAGATTGTTTATAGGGCCGGTTCCTGCAGAACCACAAGAGGGCATTGGATCCCATGAATCAGGAGTTAAGGACAGTTATGAGCTGTGTTGTGGGTACTGGGAACCAAACCCAGGTCCTTTGAAAGACAGCCAGTGCTCTAAACCACTGAGCTCTCTCTCCAGCTCCAATAATTAAAACTTTTTTTTTTATCCTATTGCATTTTAAATCCTGTGTATCTGATTGGGTATGTGCATGTGAGTGCAAGTGCTCTTGGAGGCAGGGCCATGGAGTTACAGGTGATTGTGAGCTGTGACGTGGGTGCTGGGAGCCCAACACAAGTCCTTCGCAAGAGTAGTCGAGCCCTTTAGTTGATAATTTTCAAGGGCTTTATTTGCTGTGATTTCTGTCCTTCATAGACATTATCTTTTGTAGCTATGTCAAATATATTTTATAGTAAAAATGAATATGACAGTTTAGAAATATTTCAATTATATATTTTTATAACACAAGTAATATAAAACTACATATATATATATATAAAACATTTAACATCTCAGGTTATGTAAAAATATTTTAAGATTAAAAATTGGGACTAATTAATCTCAGAAGCAGAAAGCTTACAGGATTCATCAAATCCTGGAAGTTACAGCTTCTACAACTATGTTGTCTTCTATTGTTTAGTCCCTAACATAAAGAATTATACTCAGATGTTAGTATTATGTCGTTCTTTTCCTTTTTGATACTGAACTTTTACTAGATCAAAAGTTGAGAAGTGGTATTTTTTATTGTTTGAAGTGCATTATTCTTGTACCAGTGAATGAGTTTTGTTGCATGTGCTGCTTTTTGGGGCAGGCAGGAGAATAATTTTTAGTTAAGGTCATTGTCAAAGGGCTGGTAACTAGAGATCTTTTAGCATGTGATTTAGAGAAAAATTAAAGATACTACTTATACTAATAAGTTATATTTAAACTTATAAAAGAAATTGAAATTTAGATAGTTGCAAACAGAAGATATGCATTTAATGTTTAATTGGTATTTAAGATGCAAGTGTTAAAATCTTTTACCTAATGTGATACTTAGATAAAAATTTTTGGTAACCAGTAATTAGGATTGAGGAATGTATTTAATTTTTAATTTTGCCTAATCTTTTAATTTAATTTCTGGAGATAAGGCTATTCCTATGTAGCCCTGGAATTTGTTCTGTAGCTCAAGCTGACCTCAAATCTACGCTCATTCTTGCTTAGCCTCCCAGGTGCTGGGATTACAGGTATGTGTCACATGCCTGGCTGCCTATCATTTAATCAGGGTTAAAGGGAAAGAAACTCCATTTAGGAAAAGGTAACTTGTAATTTTATTTTGCTATGATAAAACTTTTTTCATTTCTTTATCTGTGGTAGGAGTCATTTCTTTGTGAGACACGATATCTTAGTTAGTAAGGACCTGGCTTAAAACACACAGATTAGATTCTAATTTAGAACCCTTGAATTCCACCTTTGTCTCTCACATATACTGAGTAGCGACAAATTCTCTCTTTTTTTTATATCCTACTTTTACTTCCTAAAATTAAAACCAACTTCGGTTGTTACTGACCTACTGGAGATACTGAGAAAATACTTTTAAAAGAAACCAAATAATTTTTGTTTGTTTTAAGAAAGAAAGGATTATTTTGAGGCCAGCTTGGTCTACAGAGCTAGTTCCAGGGCAGCTGGGGTTATTACACAGAGAAACCCTGTCTCAAAAAACAAAAATCACAAATAAATAAAAAATAAAAAGAAATAAAGATGGCTGGGCGTTGGTGGTGCATACCTTTAATCCCAGCACTCGGGAGGCAGAGGCAGGTGGGTCTCTGTGCGTTTGAGGCCAGAGTGAGTGCCAGGACAGGCACTAAAGCAATACTGAGAAACCCTATCTTGAAAAACAAACAAAAACAAAAAAACTCCATGAAGAAAGAGGAAATAGGAAATTGAGGGAGATCTTGTGACAATAACAGTAATTGAAAAGGAAGGCAGAAAGGGCTTTGATTTGCATGCTTTAGTAACAGTTTCAAAGCTCACCATTTTATATACGTATATGTGTATTATACTGTTTCTAGTAGTATGAAGAGATGGGAAGGTAAATCATATTAGAAAAGAAAATTTAGGAGACACCTGGACCAAATTAGTAGTTTTAGATTAGATACTCTAAAGATATTAGATAGTTAGGTGTGGTGGTACATGTCATTAATCCCAGCAGAGGCAGAGCAGATCTGTGTGAGTTCTAGGCCATCCTGGTCTACAAAGCGAGTTCCAGGACAGCCAGGACTGTTACACAGAGAAACCCTGTCTTGGGGGCGGGGATCAGATAATAATGAATAAAAAAGACAAAAAGAATGTGTGGGAGGAAACTTTTAAATGGAAAAGGTTAGGAAGATGTTCTCATTTTACAATACTTTTTCCAATCCAGCAGACAAGATGATGATGTAAGGTAAGGTAACAGTAGGATTTTAATAACTTGTCATCTTAGAATATTTTCCTAATACAAAGTCTGCAAATATGAGTACAATGGTACATTTGAAATAACTTACAGCTCATAGGAAGGGAATTGGCATGCGCGAGCACGCACGCACACACCACACACACACACCACATACACAGGTTTTTTCCTACAATGTGGGGCCCAGGGATGAATTTGGACTGTCAGGCAGCCAGTGCTGGCTGGTGGATTTTTGTTGTTGTTGTTTTGCCCTTGTCTTTCATAATTGTTGCAGGTTTTTCTGAATTGTTTCCTTATTTATTTGGCATAATTCACATCTTATAAAATTGGCACTTTTATAACTATGGTTTTGAGTTTTAAGAAATACATCTTGTATAACCGCAAGTGTACTTTAGTTTAAAAACATTATTTATGCATGTGCTGTGGGGACATGCCACAGTGCAAGTATGGTGGTCAGAGGACAATTAGAGAGCTGGTTTTCTCCTTCTGCTGTGAGTTCCTGGGATAGAACTCAGGTCATCAGGCTGGGCAGCAAGTGCTTTAACCCTGCTGAGCCATATTCAGTCTCACGGTACTTTTTAAAAGGGAGGAATTATGGAATTCATAATTTGTAAAAATCAGAGTCAGTTAATAGGAGTCACTGAAATTTGTAAGGATTGTAGGGCCTGATAGTGAATGTCTTTAATCTCAGCACTTTTGAGACAGAAGTAGGTGAATTTGTGAGTTTTAGGTTGGGCTAGTTTAATAGAACTAGGCCAGCCAGAACCACATAAGGAGACATTGCCTTAAATTTTAAGGAGTATAAGAGATGTGTTTTGATAATATATGCTTTGTTTCATTCAGCTATTGTATCCTACTTCCTCATAGGTTTTAAAAAGTAACTTTAAGTAGTTATCCTCATGAAACAGTTTTTGTATGCTCATACCCATATATAAATTCAGTGCCTTTGGCGTTATATGATTATATGCTTTTAGCATGTGACATTTTGATCACTTCAGAGTACTTTTTTTTTGACAACTTTTTTTTATTATTACTTTAATTTTAAATAGCTTGCTTCACATGTCAACCCCAGTTCCCTCTCCCTCCCGTCTTCCTGCTCCTCCCCACCACCACCCCAGCCTCCCACCCTATCCCCACTTCCTTCCACATAGGGGATATCCAGAGTCTGTCATTTCGCTCAGGGCAGGGTCCAGGCACTCCCCCTAAGAGTCCAGGCTGAGAGAGCATCCCTCTTTGTGTTATGGACACACGATGTCTGTTTGTATGCCAGGGATAAACACTGATCTACTGCCAAGGGCCCCATAGGTTGCCCAGGCCCCCTCACTGACTCTCACACTCGGAGTCAGGATCAGTCCCATGCTGGCCTCCCAGCTGTCGGTCTGGGGTCCAAGAGTTCCCCCTTGTTCAGATCAGCTGTCTCTGCTGGTTTTGCCAGCCCATTCTTTGCCCATTTGCTCATCGCTCCTCTCTCTCTTGTCACTGGGTTCCATGGGTTCAGTTCAGTGTTTAACGGTGGGTGTCTGCCTCTGCTTCCATTAGTCACTGGATGAAGGTTCTAGGATGGCATATAAGGTAGTCGTCAAGTTCATTATCAGGAATGGGCATTTATGGTGGTCTCTCCACTGTCGCTTAGCTTG